GTCGCTGTGTTCGCCCACCAAGCACACGCGTCCCGGAACGAACGCGTCGACGCGCTCGATCGCGTCGAAGAGCGCGGACGCGCGCGCGTCCATGTCCTCGAGTCGTCGCCCCGTCGCGCGCGCGCGCGCGACGCCCTGGGCGACGCGCGCGGACGTTTGACCGCCGCGGGAGCGATGCCTCGCCCTGCAGCGCGTCACAGCTCGACGCGCCGCGACGCGACGCGCGCGCGGTGCGCGTGGAAGAGGACGACGCGCGCGACGTCGCGCGATCGACCCGCGGTCGTTCGGACGCGCGCGCGCCGAGGGCGAGGGGTGCGCGCGGGGAATCGTTGCGCGATTGAAAAGATCTAAACTTTGAGCGATCCGACGCGGTGGCGATGTCGCAGGGCGACGTGGAGACGCCCACGACGCCCGGAAACGCGATGGAGGGAGTGGCGACGCCGAGCGCGCCGATTGATCCCAAGAAGGAGGCGCTGAGGAAGTACGCGGGACTGCTGCTGCAGCACAAGGTGGGATCTCGAACGCGCGAGGGCGACGCGATCGTTCGCGAGGGACGTTAAACGACGCGAACGACGACTGACGATGGAACGTGCGCGATATAGGAGCTCGAGGCCAGGGTGCGCGCGTCGAGGTTCGAGTTGATCGATATTCGTAAGACGTACGATAAGACGGAGGAGGATCTGAAGGCGCTGCAGTCGATGGGGCAAATCATCGGCGAGGTGTTGAGACAGTTGGACGAGGATAGGTTCATCGTCAAGGCGAGCTCGGGACCTAGGTACGTCGTTGGGTGCAGAACGAAGCTCGATAAGAGTAAGCTCGTGAACGGGACGCGCGTGACGTTGGACATGACGACGCTAACGATCATGCGCGCGCTCCCGAGAGAGGTGGACCCGTTGGTGTTCAACATGCTGAGTGAGTCCACAGGACACGTGGATTATAGCTCGATCGGTGGGCTCGGGGAGCAAATTCGCGCGCTCAGGGAGTCCATCGAGCTGCCTCTGATGAACCCGGAGCTTTTTGTTCGAGTGGGCATCGCCCCTCCGAAGGGGGTGCTGCTCTATGGTCCGCCGGGGACGGGGAAAACGTTGCTCGCCAAGGCGATCGCGAGCAACATCGACGCCAACTTTTTGAAAATTGTTTCTAGCGCTATAGTGGATAAGTACATCGGTGAATCGGCGAGGTTGATCAGAGAGATGTTCGGATACGCTCGCGATCATGAGCCGTGCATCATCTTCATGGATGAAATCGACGCCATCGGAGGGAAGCGTTTCTCCGAAGGTACGTCCGCAGATCGGGAGATTCAGCGCACGCTCATGGAGCTTTTGAATCAACTCGATGGTTTCGACGTCTTGGGCAAGGTGAAGATGATCATGGCTACGAACAGACCGGACGTGTTGGATCCAGCGTTAATGCGTCCTGGTCGTCTGGACAGAAAGATTGAGATCCCGCTTCCGAACGAGCAGGGTCGCGTTGAGGTACTGAAGATTCACGCGCAAAAGCTGAACAAAGAGGGGGAGATTGATTACGAATCCATCGCCAAGATCGCCGAGGAATTCAACGCCGCGGACATGAGAAACGTGTGCACGGAGGCTGGCATGTTTGCCATTAGAGACGACCGCGACTACTGCGTCCAGGACGACTTCATGAAGGCTGTCCGCAAGCTTGTCGAGGCGAAGAAGCTCGAACCCGCGGCGTCGTACGACAGCTCGTTCAAGTCAGACAAGTAGACTTTTAATCGGCTTAGCGAGACGTCTACGCAACCTTTTTCATGTCTCGACCGTTAACCAGATCTCCTCACAGTTCCCCGCGTCCACCCATCATGCCGTCGACGAACGAGATCAACGCGAAGAACCTTCGGAAGAAAGCCGACGGGTACATGAAGCCCACGCTGACGAGATGGAAGCCGGATTTCGAACGAGCCGCGGAGCTCTACGAAGAAGCCGCTCGAGTGTTCCGAGCGTCGAGCGCGCACGCCGACGCCGCGGACGCCGAGGAGCGAAGCGCGCGAGCGTGCGAGCTTGAAGAGAACCACTGGCACGCGGCGAAGGCGTACGAGCGAGCGACGGAGGCGTACGCGAAGGCGACGCCGTACGACGGCGCGGCGGTGTTGGCGAGCGCGGAGCGGGCGCGCGAGGCGTACACGCGGAGCGACCGCGCGCAGGCTGGGGCGGAAAGTCTCAGTCGAGCGGCGAGGTTGATCGAGGATAGTGATATGAAGACGGCGGCGGCGCTGCTCAGGCTGTGTTTGGAGGATCTCGAGGAGGACGGGAAGGACGTGTACGCGAGCGAGCACCATCGGCGGTTGGGCGCGGTGCTCCTGCGCGCGGAGCTGTATCAAGACGCCGCGACGGCGTGCTTGAAGTACGCTGAATCGTGCTCGCGCGCGGGACAGATGAACTCGCTCGCCAAGGCATATCTGAGCGCCATCGTGGCGCTGCTGTACGACGGCGACGGCTCCGGAGCGCAGTCCACGTTTAGCGACGTGCACGAAGTTCCGGGATTCGAGAACAGCGAGGAGCGCGACACCGCGTACCTGTTGCTCAATGCATATCGCGACGGTAGCGTGGACAAAATCAAGAACGCGATCTCCACGAGCTCGTGCGTGCGATTCCTGGACGTCTCATTTTCTCGTCTCGCCGCGAAACTGCCGAATCCGGCGCACGAGCTCGGGGCGCTCGCGGTGAAAATGGGCGTCGAAGGCGTCGACGGCGACGCCACGGATGAAGATGATGATTTGACCTAATGTCGTTACAACGCGACCGCTAGTACCACTTAAAACCTCTATCGTCGCACGTGCAATTAATAATCTTGATCTCCTTGAGCGGCCTGTCGTTCTTGTCCACCTTGACCGCCCCCATCGCCCGCACCGCGTGCATCCCGCTCTCCACCCGACCAAAAATCGCGTGCTTCCCATCCAACCACGGCGTCGCCGCGAGCGTGATGAAGAACTGACTCTTATTCGTGTTCGGTCCGCTGTTCGCCATGCTCAGGATCCCCGCGCCGACGTGCTTCAGCCCCTTACTGATTTCATCCTCAAATTTCCCCCCGAACACGCTCTCTCCCCCCCGTCCCGTCCCCGTGGGATCCCCTCCCTGCACCATGAAATCCGCGATCACGCGATGGAACACCGTGCCGTCGTAGTACCCTCGGCGCGCGAGCTCGAAAAAATTCTCACACGTCTTGGGCGCGTGCTTATAGTACAGCTCCAGCGCGACGTCGCCGTGCGTGGTGTGCAGGATCACGGACGGGGCCCCGAACGGGTCGTTCTCGCCCCACACCGGGTCGTCGCACATCGTCCTCGCGCGCGCGGGCGTGGCGCGTGGGCGTCGCGACGCGATCGTCCCGAGGCCCGACGGGCGTTACGCCGAGAGTCACGAGTCACGACTCGTCAAAGAGTCCCCGGGCGTCGAACACCCGTCCGTGGACGCCCGTCGTTGAATTCGACGACGGGCCCGAGCGCGACACCGCGCCTCGCACGCGCCCGCGCGACGACGCGGCGCGCGCGGACGATCGATTCGTCCGTGCGCGCGCGCGCGCGACGGGCGTCGGGCGCGCGCGCGTCGAGGCGTCGACCCGCGGTCTTTTGACAATCACTCGATCGTGTTGGCGACGACGGACGCGCGACGATGGACGCGCGCGCGCGCGCGACGTCGAGAGGGATGACCGAGGCCGAGGCGCGCGACGCGAGCGAACCCGGACGAGGGAGGACGACGACGACGACGACGACGACGGCCGCGCGATGGGACGCGCCGCGGGACGAAACGATGGGCGCGCGGACGAGCGAGGTCGAGCGAGGCGCGATCGCGACGGTGCGCGTGGATGACGACGAGGGAGAGCGCGCACGGCGCGGGGTCGTCGTGCGGGGAGAGCGCGAGGAAGGCGCGGTGCAGCTCGCGCCGAGGACGAAGAGGGAATTTCACGACGACTACTGGACGAATCAGCACCTTAAATTGTTGTACTTGGTGAGCAAGTACTCGAACTGCGCGCAGACGGCGCGGGAGAAGGAGCGATGGGTGAGAAAGTTACCGCTGTTGGTGTTGATTTACGAGGGGATCGTGCAGAAGGTTTTCGAGTACGATTACGCGCCCGAGTCGACGGTCGTGAAGAATTCGCGGGTGTATCTCAACGTGTCGCAGGAGGGGGTGGATGACTTGGACGATTTGATCGAGGGCGCGCTCCTTCGTGGTTTGCGATTGAGTAGCACGGAGCATCAGAGCGTTTTGGCCTTTCAGATCACCGCCGCGGGTCTGGCGTTGGTGGCCAAGCGCATGCACGTGGAGGACAGGCTACTGGTCGACGAATTGTGCATCGCCGACGGCAAGCTCTTGCAAGTCTCGTGGGAGGACGAGAAGTTTTACCTGAGAAACGAGACGATTTCGTTCGAATCGAGTATTACGGATGTGGAGGACGTATCTTACGTCGTATCTCCGTATCTTCCCTTAGCGCTTCGGCGAGTGGGCGGTCCGGTGACGTCTTCGAACTCGCATCGTGCGGCAGAGAGCGCGGCCAAGGATAGCACGATTCGCGATGATTTGGACGAAGTCATCACTATTTCGAACGTCACAGTGTTGGTCGGCGAGTTCGTGCCGTTCGGTGTGAACCAGATTGTCAAGCTCAACATGAAGCTCGGATCAAACGATCGTTGTCAGGGCGGTTATTTCACTCCCGAGATAGACGCGCAGTCCACTAACACCGAGTGCGAAATCCCCACGGGTTTGACGAATGTGAGCATCTTGGATCACGATATGACGACATTCGCCAACATCGAGGCTCAAGTGTACTACCCAGAGGATGATGGTATCATTCAAGTCGAACATTTCGGAATTCACTTGCGGAAAGACGGGACCGTCGTGCACGGTCTCTTGATTGAATCTGTCATGGACCGCATTTTGGACAATATCTCTCTGGATAACCTTGCTCGTTTGCTCGTAGATGTACACATGGACTCGAGTAAGATTTTGGATTCGCTTCTGAGCGATCACCAACGAGATTTACTTCGAACTGTTTTCTTGAATCACTCGGAGCGACGCGACAAAATCAACGTCATCATCGCTGAGCGCATCGCTCCTCAGCAAGCTGCGGATATGTACATGGACAAAGATGCGTTCGAAAATGAACTTCGACAAATTTTGGGCGACACGCGCGAAGCACACGACCTGACCGATCGTGACGTCGTCATCACTGGCTCACATGGTATTTTGCTCAGTGGACCGAATGCAAAGGCGCAAGAACCTGTGATGCTCATGTATCTATCCATCACATCGAGGGATGTTTTCGTCCACAACGTGTTCAACCGAATATTTATGACAGATGACATTCTCAAAAGCGTTCGTCTGATGATCAGGCATCATGAAGAGGATCCGAACAGCGTGGCAAAAATCCGCCGCACGCTTGGTGAGACTTCCAAGGATGTCATTTTACTGGAAGAGATCCTCGTCTACCTGAAGGAATCGATCGAACAAGACGCGAGTATTCACGCCACACCACAGACTGAGACTGGCAGACGCCTGTACAGCCTGCTCGGGTTGGATGTTATGATTGCTGACCTGGAGGTGCGCGTGCTTGACATGCAGAAAATTGTCATGGCGGCACGCAAAGAGATTGATGCGTTACAAATCATGGCGGACACCATCGCGGAATCCCACGCGCTGCGTGTGCACGAAGACATTCGAGGAAACAGCAGTGAGATGCTGATGCAGATGAAGTCCAACACCAAGCAAGGCACGAGTCTGTACGTGATGTTATTTGTTTTCTCAGGAATACTCGCATTTGAGTTGCTTGATCGTCTCACGGGTGAATGGAGCGTCGTGCACACTGAGTGGGCGAGATCGTACATCGTTGACCCATTCATGAACAAACCACTCGTTTGGTTCATTCTCAGTCTCGTGGTGTGGGCCGGTGTGGCGTGCGTCATGTACTACTTGACGAGAGAAATCGACGACAAGTCTGCGGGCGCGATATCGTATCGAATCAAGGTAAACAAGCCTCTGAACGTCGATGCGCTCGATAAATACTTGGCTTTTAAGTCGATCATCGGAGAAGATGGTGTCGCGGATGAAGATACGACGCTTCAGCGAGTGAGATGGCAGGAGGAGGACATCACACGCTGGGAGGGCTACTTGCCAATCATCGAGCTCGTGTACGATATCAAGCACGGTTTTTTATTAGATGTGCATCTCACGATCAGTAGACGCGCTTCTGCGCCGGCAAAGTTGCGACCGGAAACATTGAAGATTCGATTTTTCACTGAGTTACAAGAAGCTGCTGTATTGACGCCGGAAGATGCGGCCACGGTGATAGATAATACCCGTCGTATGCGCATGAAGACGGATACAGTCGAACAACACGCTACCGAAGGAGTGGCGGTTTGCCTGAAGGTTAAAGTCCCGAACGAACGGTACTACCGAGAGATTCCGTTCGGATGCCAAACATACCTCGAGCTCCGAGAGCAAATCGCGATCAAGTTCAAGGTCAAACCCGTACAAGTGCTTCAGATTTTCAAGGTTCCGGACACGTTGATCGCGGACGACGAAGACGCGGTGCGAATCCAACCGAACGCCGTACTCGAAATTCTTCTCAAATCCTAGGACTTCGCATAATTGTATTTCACATTAGGCTCACTTTTGATTACAAAGACCGCGCAGCACCTCGTTTATGCGAGGAACTGACGACGCACGCCGTGAGCGAGAGCCGCCACGATGGCAAAAATGAGAAGTTTAACGATGATATTCATCGCCTTTTGCCAAGAGAACTTTCGTGCGGCGGTGTTATTCTTTTCTTGCTTGTTCTCTTCTTCTTGAATCTGCGGCAAACCGAGCGCTGAGCGAGTGCGATTGCGGAAGGACGAGTAATCTCCATCAGCTTCGTTCATGGTAGCTATCAACTCGCCAGGCTCCACGCCCGCTGTGGTCTTCGCGGACTTTGCTTCCACCGCGACGGCCGTCGAAGTGGTCGTCGTTTGCACAGAGCTCACCTGAGCAGACAACGCACCCGCGCGATCCATCCCTTCGTACCTCTCGACGTCGTAGTCCCGTTCCTCAGACGCCCACGAGTACTCCGTCGTCGGCATCTTTTGCGGCTCAGCTGGGGTGAATTTGTATCCGAGACGCTTCGAATTCGCCGCCTCGACCGAGTTCGCGTCCATCACTCGAATGTCTTCGATCACTTGCTCGCTATAGCTCATGTTCAGCAGTGCGTTCATCCATGTAGCCTCGTCCTTTGTCTTCGCCGGCGTGGAGGCGATGGTAGGGTTGACCTCCTCGACCATCTCATTCGTCTCCACCTTCATCTCGGTGATCAAGGTCTTGGTGATCTCAGCGGTGTCGGTGACCGTGGTTTTCTGGGCCGGGACGGTCGGTTCAGCAACCTCCGCGGCGCCGCCGAACGAGAGCCCGCCTTCGCCACTGAAAACCTCGTCAAACGAATCGGCCACCCCTCTCGCCATCACGGACGCGCTCGTCGTGAACTTCTTCAGAGGCTTCAGATCGTTCTTCATCGAGTCCTGAAAGCTCACCTTGGGCGCGTCCGGGTCCCTGAACAAGGTTTCGAGCGCCTTGATGACGACGACGGCGACGCCCACGCCCACCGCCGTGGACCCCGCGTCCCGCGCGAGCGTCGCGACGACGCCCGCCGACAACGACGCCACCAACGCCTTGACGATATTTTCCGGATTCCTCACCGCATCGACGACGCCCATCGGCTTCGACCGCGTCGTCGCCCGCGTCGTCGCCTTCTTCACCACCGTCTCCGACAGCACCCGCTCTCGCGCGTCCTCCGCCTCCATCTCCCTCGCCGCCGCCTCGAACACGTCCTCGGGCGTCATCTCCTCCTCCGCCCCACCCTCGTTCCCACCCCTCGACCGCGTCGTCGTCGCCAGCCGCGTCCCTCGCGCGTCCATCGCCAGCCTCATCATCCCCCATCGTCGCGTTCGCCCGCGCTCCCGCCCACGCGCGCGCGCGCGCACGCGCGCGCGCGCGGACGCCAACGGCGTCGCTCGCGTCGTCGCCATCGCGCGCGCGCGCGCGGTCGACGCGCCGCGCGGTCGCGGGCGCGCGCGATCGGTGACGTCGACGGAGACGCGCTCGAGTCTCGCACACCGTGAGTCACGACTCGTGACGACCATCGACGCGGCGTCGGTCGGGAGATTTCGTCTCATCGACACACACGCGGACCTTTCGTCGACGGGATCGCGCGTCCGCGTCGGATGCCGCGCGTTCGCCGACGCGGCGCCGACGCTCGGGCGCGCGCGCGCGCGATGGCGAGCGACGACGGCGGCGCGGCGTTTCGAGCGAAATACGGTGATCTCGCGCCCAAGCCGCGGTTGATCTCGAGAGACGTGAAACACTTTGATTCGGCGGATTGGGCGATGCGGAAGTCGTTGGACCGCGCGCGCGGGGGAAGCGGGGACGTGGGGGGTGAGGGACAGAAGAGGGACGCGACCGCGACGGAGGATAGTGCGTTGAGGTTGAGTGCGGGTGAAGAGGGCGCGCGGGCGAGCGTGACGACGAGCGGGAACGTGGGGAAGGCGTGAACGCGAGCGACGCGCGCTGGGCGCGCGGGACGACGGGGACGGGGACGGGGACGGGGAGAGCGATGTCGAACGGCCGGAGATACATGACGCGAACTCATAATATAGCGCGTTGAACCACATTTTCTCGATAATCTCACCGACGCGAGAGAAACGAACGCGTCGTAATGACGCGCTCGCTTGTAACAAGACCACGCAACAAGACCGCGCGTCGAGACGAGAGAGCGCGGAGGCGAGAGCGCGCGCGACGCGGACCGACGAGGTGAGTCAAAAGAGCTATGATCTTATGAAATCCGCTAATACGCGCGCGCGCCTTCCTCGCCGTCGTCGCGATCGATCGCTAAACGACGCAGGAAAACACGCGACGCGTCCACACTAAACCCGCTACGCGACGCTCAGTTTACAAGTTGAGCTTGGTGCGTCTCCAGTGGCGGCGCTTCGCGTTGTAGCTGCGCATCGAACAGACGTGAGGTCAGTGCATGTTCGCGAGGGAAGTACGAGCAAAACGATCATCGAACGCTCGCCCGGTCTATTCGCGCAAGTCGTCTCACGCGGCGAAAAAACCTAAGATACGTACCGAATGGTGTTACCCGTGCGCATGCGGATCCATTGGGGAAGCGGGCGGTTTTGCTTTTGCTTCTTCCCGAGGATCTTCTTGATCTTGAAGGTCTTGTTGGACGGCTGCGTGGGTTAAACGAAGCGTTTCCGGTCAGTCCTCTCTCTCAGCGGCTTCCCATAGCTTTAGGGTCTGTCTCCAAAGCCTCAATCTCCCCTCGCCGACGTCGCTCATCCCTCGTGACGACCCCGGAGCGCATCGAACGACGCATAGACATCCGTACTATCGTCGCCCGTCGTCTCCGCGCCCTCAATCGCGTCGCTCGCGTCGCTCCCGGACATCACGAGCGACTCGCGCGAACGCGCGATCGAGCCTCGCGAGCGCCCACGAGCGCCCGCCCGTGGTCTCCACGAACGAGCGCTCCGTCGCCTCGCGCGCGCGTTCGCGTCATCGAACGTCCGTGCACCGCTCTCCATCGAGCGCGCGTCGTCGACGTCGTCGCACGCACCATCTTGAGCGTCGCAAAGAGACGGCGCGCGCGGTGCGCGCGCGCGGTCGAAGTCGAGAGACGCGCTATGTGATGCATCGCACACTATGGGTCGACGACGCCTAGTGTGATTTTTTTAACGCCGTGTAAGAGCGCGCGATCGAATCCACGAGAAACACGAGGCGCGTCGCGACGAACGGCACTGTGTGACTCGCGCGCGCGCGGTCGTCGGTGCGCGCGGTCGGTGGATTCGATCCGCGCGCCTCGGTCGCTGACGATGGCGAACGTTCCGCCGGGCGCGCAGGGGCAGGCGCACGGTGCGGGCGGGAACATGCAGTTCATGGATTTCAACGCCCAGGCGTACCCGAACTACGCCGCGTACGGCGGGGGGATGGGCGGTGGGGCGTACGCGGGCGGTGGGACGACGGCGTACCCACCGCAGGCTGGCGGAGATGGATACGGGTTCGGGTTCGGTGGAGCGCACCAGGGCGGGGCGTCTTTCCAGGGGCAAGAGGAGGATGAGCCTCCGCTCCTGGAGGAGCTCGGCGTCGATCCCAAGCAGATTTATAGACGAACGATGGGGGTGCTGCACCCGTTCAAGCAGGAGGATACCTCGGACGAAGATCTGGCGGGACCGCTGATGTTTTGCATGGCCATGGGGGCGCTGCACCTGTTGGCGGGAAAGCTCCACTTTGGATACATCTTGGGTTGGAGCACGCTCGCGTCACTGTCCATGTACTGGTTGCTGAACCAAATCATCGGCGGCGGCGACGGTATCGGGTTGAACAGGTGTGGAAGTATTCTGGGCTATGCCCTGCTGCCCATGGTAGGATACAGCGCGATCGTGCTCTTTTTGCCTTCCAAGACGGGGACGCTCAGCATGGCGTTGGCTGCGTTGTGCGTGATGTGGAGCTCGCGTAAGGCGAGCACGGGATTGATACAGGCCATGCCACAGTCTGAGGGTAAACGCATGATTGTCACGTATCCATGCATGATGCTCTATTGCCTTTACATCGTTTTCGCGATGTCCTAAAATCCTACCTAGTCCTAGTTTGCTGCAAAATTTCTAGAAATTTGACGCTACTCCCACGCCTGCAACCGCTCGCGAACGGCACTAATAAGGGAGATGCACGCCACGTCCGTCGTGAGCGTTCTTGTACCGAGCGCAATTTTTCTAAATCCGGCGTGTTCGAGCATGTCGAGCTCGTATTCGGTCCATCCGCCCTCCGGACCGATGGCGATGAGCACTCTTGAGTTCTCGTCCACTCCCGCGAGCGCATCAGCCACGCTCGTTCGAGACTCTCCGGGATGTGCCAGGAGCAAAACGTCAACATCAAGCGTCCACGCCCTATCGCCTCCGAGCAACCACTCGAATCCGTTCGTCATGTCGTTGCCTTCGAGCTTCCCCGCGAGGCGGTCGATAATCGGAGGCAACCGCTTCGCGACGCCGATTTGCGGCACTATATAATCGCCAGCCTGCTCTAGTCCTCTCAAAATCTCCTCGCGAATCGTCTCGCGCTCCAATGCTTTCGAGTCAAAGTAATACCGCTCCACCTTGCTCGCGTTCGCCAGGAAAACGCGCCCCACGCCCATCGCCGCGAGCGGCGCCCACATTCGTCTCAAAACCTTCGGCCTTGGCGTCGCGAGCAACAGGTCCACCCTCGGCGCCCGCGTCGACCCCTCTCGAGCACTCAGAGCGACGATAAACTCTCCATCGTCCCCGTCGTCCGCGATGATCGTCCCCGAGCACCGCCCTTCGTCGATCACGCCCGCGCGAATGGTCGAACCAACGCTCGCTCCGAGCACCTCCCTCGCGTGTCTCGCCCGCGCGTCGAGCCCCGCGACGCGTGCCTCGTCGCCATCGACCTCATCGGCGCGGAATAAAATCCTATTCCGAGCTCGCACGCCCGTTTGCGATCGATCGCGCGCGCGCGGGCGCGTCGAACGCGAGTCGACCACGGGCGAGCCCAAAAAGTACACTTTGCAACGCCCGAGCGCCATTCTCTGACGCCATGGCGCTCTCGGCGTCTCGACTCGCGCACTGTGCCGCGTCGTCGACCGGTCGACGCGTCGCCGCGCTTCGTTTACACCCACTTCCGGATCCGCCCGCGCCCGCGGTGACGCGACACTTGGTCGTGGACGTCGCGGGCGGGACGTGCTCGGTGGCGACGTACCTCGCGCGCGAGCTCGAGTGTGAGGGCGTGGACGAGGCGTACGCGCGCGAGCTCGTGGACTTTGGCGCGGTGTGGTTCGCGGATGCACCGCCCCCGAGGTCGCTCAGAGGGGTCCCGGGAGACGCGCGGGCGCGGAGGTTGGTTGCCGCGGAGAACGAGCGCGCGTTGCGGGACGGAAACTATCTGCGCGTGCACGTGTCGCCGAAGCGGTTTCCTGAGGCGCATTCCACGGTGTGGGAGCGGTGTGTGCTGAAGAGAGGGGACGGATTCGTCGTGGCGCATAAACCGGCGAGGGTGAGCGTGACGCCGACCGTGGATAACGTGCGCGAGTCGTGTCTGGCCATGTTGGAGAGGGCGATGGGACTGAGAGAGGGGACGCTGAAACCGGTGCACAGGCTGGATGTGGGCACAGAGGGGGTGCTCGTGCTGGCAACGACGAGCGCTTTCGCGAAGGAGTTTGGTGATATGCTCGCGAAGCGATCGGTCACCAAGCTGTATCGAGTGTTGACATCGAGAGCGGTCGAGACCGGCATACACATACACGATGCAGAGCCGGCAACGGAGGGACCGAGAAAAATGATTTTGACCGAGGTGAGGACGGCAGACGTCGCGAGTGAGATTGAAAAGGTTATGGTTCGAGGTGGGGGCGAGCGCGGTGGCGTGAGCGTACCAAAGCGCTGTATTTTGCGCGTGATTGAGTGTAAAGAAGTCGGCTCAGGATATTTTGAGACGACGGTCGAGCTATTAACGGGACGTACACACCAAATCAGAGCACAGTTCGCCGCCTTAGGATCGCCACTAGTGGGGGAGACTTTGTATCGCGCCCCGGATGATGACGGTGACGTTCGCGTGCAGAAGCCAGACGAAAGGTTGGGCCTACAAGCTTCAGAGTTGCACATCCACAGCGAGTGCTCTTTAGGACCTGCGGGAACTGTATTACGAGCGCTCGAGCCGTGGTGGACGCGCGAACGCTTCATAGTCGGTATCTAGGATATTGCATTATAATACCAGTTAGTTAGTTTCTTTCTTATGCGTTGCGGGCTTGGAAGTCCTTCATGAAGGACACGAGCGCCTCGACGCCTTCCTTTGGCATGGCGTTGTAGATGGACGCGCGAGCACCGCCGACGGAGCGGTGGCCCTTGAGCGCTTCGAAACCCTCTTCCTTAGCTTCCGCGAGGAACTTCTTTTCCAATTCTTCGCCGCCGGCGAGGGTGAACGGAACGTTCATGAGAGAACGGTACTTCTTGTCCACCGGGTTGACATAGTAGCCGCCGCTGGAGTCGATGGCGTTGTACAAGACGTTCGCCTTTTCGATGTTGCGCTGCTCCATCGCTTCAAGGCCACCATCTTTGATGAGCTTGGCGAAGACAAGGCCGGAGACGTACCAAGTGAAGCACGATGGAGTGTTGTACATCGAGTCGTTGTCAGCCATGAGCTTGTAGTCAAACATGGACGGCGTGTCCGGACGAACGTTGCCAATCAGGTCATCGCGAACGATACAAATGCCGAGACCCGCCGGGCCGATGTTCTTTTGAACACCACCATAGATGACGCCGTACTTACTCACGTCGATCGGCTTGGACAAGTAGTTGGACGACATGTCCGCCACGAGCGTGCGACCACCGACGTCGGGCACCTCCTTGAACTCGACGCCGCCGATGGTCTCGTTGGAGCAAATGTGCACGAACTTCGAGCCCTCGGTGAGGTTCCACGTAGAAACATCCGGGATCGTCGTGAACTTTTGATCCTTGGAAGTCGCGCAGATGTTCGCGTTCGCGAGCATCTTCGCGCCTTCCTTTTGCGCCTTGACGCTCCACGCGCCCGTGACGACGAAATCCGCGCTATCCGTCGCCCCCGCCAGGTTGTGGCAGTTCGACGCCATCATCGTCGACGCTCCACCTTGCAGAAACAGCACCTTGTAGTTGTCGGGGATCCCCACCAGCGTTCGCAGATCAGCCTCCGCCTTCGCCGCGATCGCCATGTAATCTTTCCCGCGGTGCGACATCTCCAGCACGCTCATACCGCTGCCCTTATAATCCACCAGATCGCGCTGCACCTCCTCCAGAACATCGATCGGCAACGTCGCCGGTCCCGCGGAGAAGTTATACAATCGCCCGCCCGGCGCCGGTCGTTTCGCGCACGCGCGCACGCGTTCGCCCCGCCGCGCGCGCACGGCGCCACCGCGGTGCACCCGTTCGCGATCCACGCGCGCGCCCACCGCGCCCGCGCGCGCACCACCGACCGTCATCGAAGCCGCCCCCATCGTTCGCTCCGCGCGCGCCCGCGAGTGCGCGCGACGGCGACGGCGCGCGGGCACACGGCGCCGCGCTGGCGGTTAAAAACCTACCCGGGAGTGCGTTCGGCGCCGCCACAGTACGCGCGCGCGACGAAAATATCAACATCGCCCGAACGAAATTTTGCCTCGGGGCAAAATGTGACGTGAAAATTTTTTGGTGGTTCATGACTGGTGACGTCGAGGGGGTCAGGATCGTCCCGAACATCGTCGCGCGTCCCCCCCGTGGTGAAATTTCATTTCTTCGCGAAAATGTCGACGACGACGCCGGTCGCGGGCGTCGCACACGCGGTGGACGCGCGAGCGCTCGGCGCTTGCGCGGCGAGCGCGATGGCGCCGGGACGGATCACCTCGGTGTGGGTGATCAACAAGTCGGGTGGATTGATTTATCACCGCGCGTTCGACGCGGTGGACGGGCGAGGGGAGACGCACGCGATGCGATTGGACGCCAACGCGACGCTGCGGTTGGCGAGCGTGTGGCACTCGATGCACGCGATCGCGCGAAAGGTTTCGCCCACGCGCGGGTGCGTGGGGATAGAGAGCGTGGAGTGCGATACGTTTGATTTGTATTGCTTTCAGGCGGAGACGGGGACGAAGATCGTGATGACGACGACGAAGGGAACGGTGGACGCGCGCGGGACGCTGCGCAGGGCGCACCAGGCGTTTTACGCCTACGCGCTGCAGAATCCGTTTTATGAGATGGAGATGCCGGTGCGGTGCGAGTTGTTCGACGCAGAGATCGCAAACGTGGTGCGTTCGGTGAATGAGCGGACGTAGATCTCGATTAGCGAGAGACTTATGTAACATTGTACGTACGTAGTTTGAATCGAGACGCCTTACGGTTGTTGCTTTTCTTCGACTACAAACTCTCTACCGTTTCAGAATATATCTCGTATCTGGCTATTCCGCTCCCTAGAAGTTAAGTGGCGCGTGTATCACCAGATCAAACGAGGATTTCAATCGGGGCGACGCGATCGCCGTGACGCCGGGAAATCGACGACGAGCGCTTAGTACCCTTGCGGCGGCATGGCACCGAAGCCTTGGCCAAAGTCACCGCCTTGCTGGGCGTCCCAGCCGGTCGGCGCCGGAGCCTCGGACCAGTTGCCCGCCTGCGCACCGAAGCCAGCGCCGGCTTGGTCGTCCCAAGACTCGGCGCCGTACGCGGCGTCCGCCACGGCGTTGTATCCAGCGTCCGCAGCCGGAGCAGCCGCAGCGGCGGCGGTTTCTTCTTCTTCTTGCTCCTTCGCCTCGAGCTCCTCCGGATCGCGGTAGAAGAACAAGTCGACCATGACGTCCCACGGGTTCGCCGGCGAGATCGTGCCTCGCATTTGAAGCACCATTCGCGCCAACAGGTAGTACAGGCAACCGATCGATTGCTTGGCCTTGTTGTTCGCCGGGATCGCGATGTCGACGTTCTTCAACGGAGAGTCCGTGTCGCAGAACGCGATCGTGGGAATGTTCACGAACGCCGTCTCCGAAATCGGCTGCGCGTCCGTGCGCGGATCAGTGACGACCAAAACGCGCGGCTCCGCGAACACGGCGTCCTTTTGGTTCGTGTACGTCCCCGGGGTGTGACGACCCGCGAGAGCCTTCGCACCGGTGTATTGGGCGAATTTGAGCACCGCGCGCTGACCGTACGGGCGCGCGGCCTGGGCGATGACGTCCTGCGGGTTTTCCACCGCAACGATCACGCGAGCGGCGAGCATGAGCTTATCCCACGTCTTCCCCAAGTTGATGATGTGGATCCCATCGGCGCGGCGCTTCCACACGTAGCGCTCCATTTGGAAGTCGACGTTCTTCGTGCCGAGGTGGCACCCGGCGGCGAGCATCATGGCGATGTCGGCCTCCTTTTGAGACATTTGAGGCGCCATTTGAGCGATCGTTCGGCGGATCGCGTCGCGAAGAGGCGGTGGCGACGCGCGACACGATCGACCTAGGGATGCGGCTTGAAAGCCCTAAAAACGCGCCGAGACCACACCCACGCCCTGGTGTTGGGACGATTCGTATTGGATCTCCACAAACGCGATGTGGCGATGCGATGCTCCACCAATGGGTCGTCCACGAGTCACTCGATCGTCCGGTGACGACCCATCGATGTCCCAATCGGGGTTTCCCGTCCACGAGGGTTCGTCGGGGACCCACCGCGGTCGTTGCCGGCACGTCCCCGCGCGATGGTGGCGTCGTCGTCGTCGTCGCCCGCGAGCGCGCTCGCGGGCGGCGATCGATCGTCCGCGCGGCGATGTTCGCGACGGTGCGCGCGAGCGTCCACGACACCGCGCGGGGCGTACGCGAGCGGCGCCGCGAGCGAGGATGGGAACGAGGCGCGACGGGACGAAGGCTGCGAGGACGGGCGAGCGAGCTCGACGAGGCGCGGTTCGCGACGTGCGAACGCGATCGGGTCGTCGCTCGAGCGGCAGATCGCGGTGACGACGCAGTTGCGAGAGGAGTTCGAGAGCGATCCGTTCTTGTCGCGGTCGTCGCTGCGCACCGCGCTCGCGCCGAACGTGGAGTACAACAACGACGTGCACGCGGTGAGGGGGTCGGCGGAGTACGGAACTTTGATGGGACACTTCGGAGACGCCACGTCGTCGGCGCTGAAGCGGTTCAAGTTTATCACGCGTAGGGCGTCGTCGATAGAGCCCGGGGTTTTGCTCATACAGTGGACCGCGGAATGGGATGGGGTGACGTTTGGGAAAAAATTGAGCAACCTCTTGCTCTCGTCCATGCACGAGGGCGCGGTGCAGAAGCTGGTCGAGGGAGCGTCCGAGTCAGCGGCCGCGAACGAGAGCGAGCGACGACGGGACATGAAGTGTCGACTGTTCGGACGGACGACGTACAAGGTGAATCCGGACGGGATGATCGTCAGTCGTCTCGATAGGGTGGACTTTCGCACCGACCCGGAGCCGGGGAGTCAGTCCGAGGACATGCCGGTTTTCGTGACCCCGGCGGAGGAGGAGCAGGAGCTCGAGCGCCTTGCCGAGGAGACAGCGGTAAACATGTTTTACAACACCTTGTGTCCACCCGAAAAGAACGAAACTTCGTGGTTCTTGGACGTGCTCATCGAGTTGGAGTGGCAGAGCTTTCAGCGACAAATGGGCGACACGACGTCCGTCATATCCAGGGAAGAGTACGTCAACGTCGTTTACGCCGTGATTGCGAGCGCCATCGCGGCTCCGATTTTTTTCTTCGTAGGCTTGACGTTGCTGGTGTTTTCTCCCGACCAAGGCACGGACCCAAATTCGTTGGACGCGGCTTTCACCGCGGCGCCGCTCACGGGAGCGAATGGTTCGCCGCTGTGGGGCGCGGACGTTTTCCTCGATCTGTACAACAGCAAGATCGGGGTGTAGATCATCAAAAAATCGAATCGTTTTTGTCATCTCGCGATCGCGCGGGAGAGACGCGGGAGAGATGTTCAAAGAGGGAAGGAATAACACTTCGATACTTACATTTTTGCGCGACGGTGAATCACTGAATACGCGCAAGCTAGCACTCGCATCACCACATCGGGACGAACATTTTGAAATCAGAGTTCCATCGACTTTTTCAAATCACCACAGAAGCGGCGTGAAGTTCTCCGGAACGCTCCACTTATCCTTTGGCAATCTCTGATAGACCCCAACCGTGAGATGCGATCGTCGTCTCGCCGGCGTGTTCATGTACGCCTCGTACGCCTCCTTACTCGCCCACGTCTGCTCGAACGCGTACTCGTTCGCCCTAAGCTTCACCAACGCCACCGCACTCGCCCCGCACTCCTTCGCCACCCGCACCCGCAGCGCCATCTCCTCCTCGAATCGCTTCACGACGGCGCCGTCGCCCGATGGAATCACAAACTCATTTCGCGCCTCGTACCCCCCCGACGCCGTCTTCCCCGCCCGCGCGCGCACGCGTCGTCGCTCGACCCGCGTCGCACCCGTCGCCCACGACGCGCGCGCGCGCGCGCTCGCCACCGCGCGCATCGCTCGCCGTCGCGCACTCGCGCCCGACGCGCGTCGTCCCGCGTCGATCGATCGCCTCGTCGTCCATCGGTGGGTCGATCGGTGCGTCGATCGATCGTCCATCGGTGCGTCGATCGGTCGTCGATCGGTGGGTCCATCGGTCATCCATCGATCGTCCATCGGTCGTCCATCGATCACCGCGATCGCGCGCGACGGGGGCGGGTCGATCGGGGTGTGGGTGCGATGTGTGTGGGCGAACAGTGCGCGACGATCGCGACCTCGGGCGGTGGGAATTGAAAATGCCCCGCGCGTCGGCCCGATCGCGCGCGCGCGGTCGACCCCGCACACGCGCGCGCGTCGAAGCGCGCGGTCGCGATCGGTGGCATGCGCGCGAGCGTCACCGCGCGCGCGCTCGGGCGCGATGGGCGCGCGAGCGCGCGTCGGGGCGAGCGGGGGGAAGATGTGCGCGATCGGGCGAATGACGGGCGATTGGGAATTCGCTCGCGATCGTGGACGGAGGACGATGGGCAACGACGGGCGACGGTCGCGCGGGTGATGCGAATGGGAAGCGTGCGTGAAGGTCGAGGGCGCCGTGAGCGCGCGGCGGTGGTGCATGCGTCGCGTGGGAAGGGGCGAGACGCGTCGACGCGCGTCGGTGGCGTCGGCTTGGGGTACGCGGATCAAACGGGCGACGACGATAAGGATGACGAAGGGTTCGTCGTCGCGCCGGGGGACGAGGATTTGATCATTCCGCCCACGACAGAGGAAAATGCGATCGAGAAGGGACGAGAGTTGTCGCTGTGGGCGGCGCTCGCGACGTGCGCGGTGATGTACTCTGTCCCGTATGGATTCGTGCGGTGGAACTTGCACACGCTTGCGCCGCTGGTGTGGTACGAGCTCGGGGGGGCGACGTTCATCGGTACTCTGATGGCGATGCCGTTCCTGTCCGCCATCGGCTATCCGGCGGCGAAGTATGAGCTCAACATGCCCATCTTGGCTCGTTCGAGTTTTGGGATTTGGGGGGCAGAGTTCGCCGACGCGTGCCGGGCAACGCTCGGGTTTCTACTCTACGCCGTGCAGACCCTCGTCGGGGGAGAGGCCGTATTCGGATTGTTCAAGGCGACTTTCGTTGCGCGGAGCATTGAGAGCGATGTGGCTGTGAGGGCGATCTCGTACGCGACATTCTGGATAGTGCAGCTTGCGATTTCCCTCCGCACGGTTCCGTCGACCAGGCTTCTCGGTTCTGGTAAAACAGTCCTGGCTCTCGTGGCCGGTTTCGCCGCCTATGCATTCCGTGAGGGCATTCCTCAGACCGCGGTTGGCTCCCTTATTTCGGCTGGTTTACCCGGACCGGTGCCGGATGAATTTTGGAAGCACGCTTGGCTCATGGTGGGTGTGTGGGTGACGCTGGCGGCCGTCTATCCTGATTACACCGCACACATCAAGGGCTCCAGAACCGCCCCCATCGGGCAATTTTTCTGGCTTCCCATACTGTCTGGATTGCTTGCCATCGTCGCGGCGGCCATTGCTCAAGCACCGAAGCCTGTTTTGTTCGCTTCCATCGCGATTGCTTCACTCGTCACCAACAGTGCAGCAAACGTTGTCGGGCCGCAAGCGTACATGCAGGAGTTTTCGCTTCCTTGGGCGAAAAAGAAGAATTATTTGGGTGGTACAATTTCTTCCAAGCAAGCTGCGCTCATCATCACCTGTGCGGTGGGATTGTTCGCGCCCGCTCAATTGATGTGGCAGCAAGTCGTAGCTGCTGCTTCATGGATCATCGGCGTCGGTTCGCTTTTGGTTTCTCCCGTCCTCGGTGTGATCCTGTGCGATTTCTGGCTCATGCGAGCCGGTAAGTTATCGCGCAAGGCGATGCAGACGCGTGATAAGAAGGGGCCGTACTGGTTTTTCCGAGGCGTGAACCCTCGGGCGATGATCGCGATTGGTGTGGCGGCAGCGCCAAACTTGTTCTCTCTTCTTTCGGGTGTGTCTTACTTGATTGAAGCCGGCGCTTTTTCGGGTTCTGGGGCATTTTACACGTACGTCGTCAACATGGAATACGCGAGTATCATTGGTGCCGTCATTGCCTTCGTCGTATACCTCTTCATACACTTGCTTGAGTTGAAACCAGTCAAGTTGCGTGAGGTCGCATCTTCCATCGGTGAAGCGTCCGGTACTCTCACCACGTCTGTCATGTACAGCATTGACGGACGCACGAAGACGACTAAAATTGTCACGAGAGAAAAGGTGAACAAGCGTATCGCTCGTAAGCGCGAGGAGTTGCCCGATGAGCAGTATCGGGATGGAATCGATGCTGCGGAACGCAAACTGCGCAAGGATGAAGACAAACGACGTAAGGCTGCGGAGGACGCTCTCCAAAAGGCTGTCGAAAATGAGGCTGAGCTGCGCCGTAAGGAGAACCAGCGTCGTCAGCGTGAGAAGGATCGAATCAACAAGCTCTACGATGAGTGCGAAGCGATTTACTCCGAGGAGATCATCACCACGAAGATCATCACAGAGACTAAGAAGGGCGAGCTGAACGACCTCATGGGACCTGACGGTAATGGTGAAATGACCGTTGCCAGGCTGAAGACGGAAATCGAACGCCGTCGTGAAGAAATCGATCAGATGCGCGCCAACATCGTTCGGCGACGTCAACAGGGCGAGTTGGAAGTGCAGAACGCGAAAAGAGCGTTCGAGGCTGCAAAGGGGCAAGAGGCTGAGCTGAGGCAGAGATTTGACGCGGAAACTCGTACTCTCTTGGAACGTGAATCACGATTGCAGGACGACGAAAATCGACGTCGTGCTGAAGCTGAATCTAAGTTGCAACGGACGCGCGACCAGCTTGCTTCCGATCGTGCCGCTGAAGAAGCTCGTAGACGAGCTTGGGATGATCAACATGCCCGTGAACTTGATGAAGAACGTCGTCTCCAAGACGCTGAAGAGCTTCGACGGGAACAAGCCCTCGAAGACATTAGACGCGCGGTGGATGATGAACGCGCTCGTCTCGAACGCCAAGAACAAGATCGTCAAGCAGCGGAGGAACGTCGCCGTGAGGAAGCTCTGAGGAAACTTCGCGACATGGAGGCAGAAGAGTTGAGACGGCGGGAGCAGGAAGATAAGCGTCGCCGCGACGCCGAGGCTGAGATCGCCGCTCTTAAGAACTCAATCGTCAATTTCGAAAAGGAATTTATGGATCGACGCGCCGCTGCGGATGCTGATGCTGATAGGCGTAAGCAAGAGATGGAAGCTGCTCTGAGGGCGGAGGAGATTCGTGCGGCGAACGCACAGGCTGCGATGCGTGCAGCGGCAAAGGCTGAAGCTGATAGACGCAAGTCTGAAGATGATGAGCTCGTCACGAAGAAACGCGCGCTTGAGGAGTTCAAGCAACAAGGCATGCGTCTCAAGGACGAGGAAGAGAACCGTCGTCAGAAGTACGTCCAAGAGTTGGCTCGCATCAACGCCGAGGAGGCAAGGCGTATTACCAGTGCTGACGTGGCTCACAAGGCCCAACTTGAGCAGATCGCAATGCTCGAGGAAGCGGAAAAGCGTAAGATTGCTGATGAAGATCAACGACGCGAACGCGTAGCGGCTCAAGCTGAAGCTGCGGAAGAAGCTGAACGTAGGAAACGAGAATCTGAGGACGCTAGGCGACGCGCTTACGATGATGCTGCACGAGCAGCGCGCAATGAAGAAGATCGGCAGCGCGCGGAAGAAGACCAACGTCGTGAAGAGAACAAACGTCGCGAAGAAGAACTCGCGAGAGAAGAAGAGCTCAAACGACAAGAGGAAGAGCTGCGTCAAAAGGAACAGGAAAAGGCTAACTTGATCTTCAACTCTCAGGAGGGTCTTAGACGCACGATGGAAGACAACCGTCGCATCAACTTCATGATTGATAAGGATAACTTCAAGACAAGTGAACAGTTGCAACGCGAAGCTGAAGACGCGCGACGAGCACAGGCCAAGAAAGATCTGGCCGATGCTGCGGAAGCCGAACGTCGAAAGCGCGAGGAAGAAGAACGCCGTCGACGAGAGGCTGATGCTCAGGCCGCCGAGGCTGCCCGAAAGGAAGCTGATCGAATTGAAGCTGAAAATCGCAGACGCACCATGGCGGAACAAAGACTGCGCGACATGGAGCAAAAGGAACAGCGTTTGCGTATGGAAGCTGAGAATAAACGACGCGCGCAGGAAGCCGAAAATCGCATGAGGAAGGAGGTTCTCGAGCGGGCCATCGCAAGCGAGAAGGAACGTCAACTTCGTGCCCAGGAAGAGCTCAAGCGGCGTAAGGAAGAAGAGGAACGCATCCGAAACCGAGAAGATCAACGCCGAGATGACTGGGAACGAGAACAAGCTCGCCGAGATGCAGAAGAGAAGGCTCGTCGCGAGAAGGAAGATTCCAGAGCTCGCGAGGCTGAAGATGCTATCCGTAAGGCAGCTGAGGCGGAGCGACAGAAGATTGCAGAAGAAGAGGCTAGACGAAACACCGAGGAGGAGCGAATCACCAAGATTCGCAACGATGAAGCCTCTGCGTGGGCTTCCGAGCTTGCTCGTCGTGAAGCATTCAAGAATGAGCTTGGTGCTCGACAACGAGCTGAAGAAGAGCTTCGAGCATCTGAGGATCGTAGACGCGCTGATCACACGAACGAACTGAGCAGGAAGCGCCAAGAAATCGATGACTTCATGCGCGAGATCGAACGCCGTCGTCGTGAAGCTGACATTGCGGCGAAGACCGCTCTACAAAATGAAGCTGAACGAGTCGCGGAGTTCCGAAAGGCTCGGGAAGAAGCGATCGCAGAGGATTCCCGATTGCGTTCTGAAGATGCCACGCAACGTCAACGTGAAGACGCCAAACTGTTGCAGATGCGCGAGGATCTCAAGAAGCTCGTTCGCAACGAAGCCATGCGTCGCGCAGAGGAAGAAGCTCGACGAAAGGCGTGGGACCAGAAAGATGCAGCCCAAAAGAAGATCGACGAAGACTTGATTGCCAAAGAAGACGCCCGACGCGATCGTTTCAGAGACGAACTTCCCGACATTCTCGATCAATTCAGAGCAGAGCTTGAGGCGAAGGAGGAATTCGTGCGAACTCAAGAAGAGATGCGCCGCAAGCAAGCCGCGGATCTCATCGCGCAAAAGGAAGCCGCGGAGAAGCAACGTCGAGCTGATTTCGATGCAACATGCGAACGAAAGCAGAAAGAGATTGACGCATTCGCCGCGAAGATCAAAGAGTTGTTTGACAAGGAAGAAGCACGACGCGCCGACTTCAAGCGTATCATGGAACAAAGACAACGCAAGGACGACGCTCGACGACTCGCTGCTTCGTCTCCCATGGCCATCGATAACATGATTCAGAACCTTCAGGCTTCCATCAGTGAGATGGAGGGACAACTTCAAATAATGATTCCGGAACTTCAATCGCTTGAAAAGGCTGCAGCGCAAAGCTACGAGGATTTCAAGTTGCGTCGCTCTCAATCCGAAATGGCTATTCAACGTACTGTTGTTGAGGAGCAAACTAGAACCGCGAATGAAGATGCTCGCCATGCGGCTGTGTGCGAAGAGGCGGACGCGGCGGTTCGTACTGAGCGCCTCCTCCGAGAAGAAGAAGATGCGCGCAGAAAGGTTGCGGAGATGCGAATCAAGCAACTTGAAGCTGAACTTGCGGCTATCATTGCCGAGATTGACGCTAGACGCCTTGCGTGGACCGCGGAGACCTTAGCCCGGACAGATTCGGAGATGAGTCTCAGGCAATCTGAAGACTCGCGCCGTTTCTTCTCCGTGTCCGAAAGTGCTGATGCCATGTTCCAAGAATCTGCTTCGATCAGCATAGAGGAAATCCGTCGTTCCGAGGCCGAGGCGGCTGCCGCACGTGCGGAAGAATTGCGTATCGCGACGGAAAAGGCTGAGGAAGAGCGCAAGGCTGCCTCGGAAAGGCGTAAACAGCTAGCAATGGACGAAGAAGAGAGTCGTCGAGCCGCCGCGAAGCTTGCGCGTGATGACATGAAGAAGCAACAGGAGCTCGAGAGCAAAGCTGAACAGGCACGCAAGGCCAAGGAAGAGGCTGATAAGGAGGCGGACGAGAAGGCTAAGAAGGATGCGGAAGAAGCTGCAAGGGCTGCCAGACTGGCCAAGGAAGAAGCTGCCAAGGCTGCCAAACGCGAGGAAGAGGAAAAGCGTCGACTTGAAAAGGAGCGAGAGGAGATGCGTAAGCGTGCCGAGCAGGAAGCCGCCGAAGCCAAGAAGCGTGCAGATCGTGAGGCTGCGGAACGTCGTAAGGAAGAGGAACAGGCGAAGAAGCAAGCGGAAGCGGCGAAGAAGGCTGCGGAAGAAGCTCGGCGAAAGGAAGTAGAGTTAGCGAAGCGCAAGGCTGAGGAAGAGTCCAAGGCAGAAGCAGAAGCGAAGGCTGCCAAGGCCAAGGCAGAAGCAGAAGCGAAGGCTACCAAGGCCAAGGCTGAGGCAGAAGCCAAGGCCAAGGCTGAGGCAGAAGCCAAGGCCAAGGCTGAGGCAGAAGCCAAGGCCAAGGCAGAAGCAGAAGCCAAGGCTGCCAAGGCCAAGGCAGAAGCAGAAGCCAAGGCCAAGGCAGAAGCAGAAGCCAAGGCTGCCAAGGCCAAGGCAGAAGCAGAAGCCAAGGCCAAGGCAGAAGCAGAAGCCAAGGCCAAGGCTGAGGCAGAAGCCAAGGCCAAGGCTGAGGCAGAAGCCAAGGCCAAGGCAGAAGCAGAAGCCAAGTCTAAGGCTGAGGCAGAAGCCAAGGCAAAGGCTGAGGCAGAAGCCAAGGCAAAGGCTGAAGCTGATGCCAAGTCTAAGGCTGAGGCAGAAGCCAAGGCGAAGGCGGAAGCCGAAGCGGCGAAGCAGGCTGCTGCATCGACTGAAACTGCTTCCAAGACGTTAACCAAGGATGATCGTACGAAGAGTCTCCAAATCAAGCTTGAACGATCTCAATCGATCGAGGAAGTCCAAGAGGTCGTTGCTGAGCTCTCTGCCGACGACGACCCGATCGCCGCCACAATCATTCTCCAAGGTGCATCCAACTTGGAGGCCGCCGCGCGAGCGCTCGCCCAATTGTGGCGCGTGAATGACACTAGAGGTGCAGAAGCGCTCATGGGTCTCGAGCTAACCCGTGCCGCCACGCTCATCGACATCATGGTTGAAAATCTTGGTGATAACGAACCTGCCATTAGTTTGGTGAACATGTCCGAGCCAGGACGCATGGTCGGCGTCGCCGAGTTCGCAATGCCTTACTACTTGCGAAGCGTCGTGTACAACGGTGTTGAAATTCTCCGAGTTGTGTCACAACGTAATGTCAAGGTGGCCAAGATTATTTATGCCGGCTTGGAGAAGGAAGAGCAAGTTAGCATATTGCGCCGCTCAAGCCTTGGCTTTGGCGCTCGACCGGGCGTCGAGAAACCGGAAGAAAAGCCTGATCCGGACCTCAATCTTGCTGCTGTGCTCCTGACTGGACTTCCTCCGTCCGCCGCGGTGGAGGTGCTGCGCACGTTCAGCACTTCAGGCGTGAAGCAGGGAAGCCCGAAGTGGAAGCGTCGCCAAGACGTCATCGTCCAGGTGCTCAATGAATGCAAGAACATTGGCCCTGGCGAGGACGCCATCGCCGATCTCATTCGTGACAGACTCAAGCTCTAATCATGTCTCCAACTATTTCGCGCAAGACACTAGCACCGCATGTCAAAAAGAGTATTTAAACACAATGGGATGGCTAGACGTTCTCGACGCGTCTTCACGTTCAAACGCTCCCTCAGAAGACCCACACCCAATCCTCACTTCAAGGCGTCGTCGCCCGACGTCACATCGCTCTCGCGACGCGAATGGTGCTCTCGCACCGCTCGCACGACGAGAACACGCCCACGAGCGATCGCGCGGGCGTCCGCGACGACATCTTATTTCGCTCGAAGCTTCACGCCACCCCGAGGTCTAAGCTCTTCGCCGACCCTCCGAGCGCGCCCCGGGCGAGCGGCACGCTCGGGGCGGCGCCAGAGAGGGAGTTATCTACGCTCGAACGTTGTGAGCGCGACCACGGACGCGTGGGGGTGGGACGGGACGAGATCGATCACTTGACGCCGGTGCTCGCGCCGGGCGGCGCGCTGGACCGAGGTTCTCCTTGGAGCGAACGCGCGGCGTACGCGAGAGCGCATCCGTACGCGATCCCGCCAAGGCGCTTGGGGCCGTTCGAGGACGTTGCGGGGGTGAGCGGGCGAAGCAGAGCGCTGGAGAGGTCGAAGACAATCACGGACGACGGACGAGAGGCGAGGCGAGAGGCGCGCGAGTCGGCGTGGAGACGAGCGAGCGCCGTGGGGACGCCCAGAGCGGCTGGGAGCGGAGCGATCGTGTATAGAGGATACGGTGGATCGACCATGGGAGGGGCGCCGAGCGGACTCATGGACACGGATGGTGAGAGAGGATATGGCGGCGCGGCGACATTCAAGAGATTCGGGGCGGTAAACATCTTTGGACACGCGCTGAAGAAGTACGTGAGCAGCGTGAAAAAGTGGGACGATGCAGGAAGCTTGGAGCGCTTCAAGTCGATGATTTCGTCATTCGAGAACGGCACGATGGTGGGGCGGGCGCACGCGGAGGCGCTTGAGTGGGAACGTTCAAGGCAGCGCACCGCATCCCGCGAACCAGTGGAGTCTCTTTCTGCCAAGCATTCGGCGACGATACGGGACATGCAAGAGAGTCTAAGGCTTAGACGGGAAAATCTTCGTCAAGTTCTCTCGTCCTCCACCGCGAGCGCTCTAGACGAACAGTTGGAGCGCTTGACCGTGGAAGCACAGGAGGCCAAGGTGAAGCGACTTCGCGAAAAGGCCGCTAGAAAGTTTCTCAAGCCTCTCACCGCGACCCAACTCGAGGCTGTGAAAGATGCGTTGCGCGCTCCATCGAGTAAAATCCTAGCGAAGGCCTCGTTTGTTGGTCAGGGCGCCCTGGAGGCGACAGGAAAAGACATCGCCACCCTGAAAAAGGGGACATGGTTAAACGACGAGGTGGCAAATTTCGCCATTGGCATGCTCTCGCGTCGCGTGATGGAGAGCAGGTCCGAGGGCGAGACGCAGCCCAGAGCGCACTTTTTTAGCACCTTTTTCATCAACAAGCTGTACCAAGACAGCGGGCGGTACGAGTATTCAAACGTGCGACGATGGACGCTTCCAAAACGGCTCAAGTACGACGTCTTGCGCTGCGAGAAGATTTACGTTCCCGTACACCAAGCCGTACACTGGGTGCTAGCCGAGATAGATGTTCGCGAGAAACGAATAAGTTATTACGATTCACTGCTCGGCGAGTCCGCGGTGACTGTGAAGAACCTCAAGCGTTGGATTTGCGACGAGGCGAAGAACAAGCTCGACGAGGAATGGGACCCGGACGAGTGGGAGGAGTGCTACCCGAAATCGATCCCTCTGCAGAAGAATGGATGCGATTGCGGTGTATTCATGATCAAGTACGCAGAGTACCTCTCCTCCGACGCCGAGCTCGCATTTTCGCAGAAGCACATGGACTACTTCCGCGACAGGCTCGTCTCTGACATTCTCGACGTCGGCGTCGACGACGACGCGTGAGTTCAATGTTGTAACGCGCCTAGATCACCCGTTAGCCACAAAACGTCATCCCCACGTAAATAAAACTCTTTCCCTTTGGCACAGCTCGCTATTAATTATTAATTACAACCATCGCGGTCGACGCGTCTTCTCCCCTCGAAGACGCTTTCATTCGTACAGTCATTCCGCCGACGACATCCCCGTCCCACCTCACCGAGCGAACGCGTTCGCCTTCACCATCGCGCCCACGCGCTTCACCCTCACGCCCGCTTCGCCTTCCCGCGCGCGAGTTCGTCCTCGCCTTCGTCGCCCTCCGTCGCCACCCCCCACGGCAGTCGCGCGCGCCATTCCTCGGGAAACCACCGCTCGCCGTAGTAATACAGCGCGGCGCCGCCGAGGGAGACCTTCACGGCGCCGATCCCGCACGCGATCGCGATCGCGGTCACGAGCTCCATCGCTCGCGCTCTCGCG